TAGAATAACAGTAGAATAGAGAATAGAATGGAATAGAATTAAATAGACTAGAATTAGAATAAAATATAATAGAATTAGAATAGAATAGAATAAGAATAGGGACTAGACTAGAATTGTCTAGAATAAAATTAGAATGAATAGAATACAGAATACAGAACAGAACAGGAATTATAAGCAAACGCAGGCCAGGCTTTTAAAAGTAACATCTACCTCTTTATTTATGTCATTAAAAAAAAGTGTATACAGTAGGAAATTGGTAGAAATGCGAACGCACTGCTTTTCCACCGCGGAGCTACCCCCCTGTGGCTGTCAGCCCACATCGGGAATTGGAAGCCGATGATCTGGCCTTTTCTCACCCGTTTCTGACAACCCAAATTCTACTCGTTCTATAAATAAAGAAATCACGAGAGAAAGCAGGCGGGGCAGCACTCCAGCCTGGCGTGCGGGGACTCCAATGACGCAGTTCTCCCGCAGGGAGACCCAGATGGGTCTCCGGCGGCCTCCACGGGTCTTGGGAGATGGACCAGGAGACCCATCTCTGTGTCCCCTCACTGCGCGTCTTTTGAAGCTGTACGTTTTGCCTGGGGTTGGAGTCCCGTAGATCGAGGCGAAAGTGAGTCCCCCGTACTGAGCACACCATTCGTGCTACCTGCCCTACTGTCTCTTTTTTAAAAATCCATAGTCCTTCTCCCTCCACGAGGGACGGCCCTTGGAGACCAGCGAAGGGTTAACACCGCGAAGGAGGGGGATAAGCCACACCTCCCGTTGTGCGCCCCTCTACCGGGACTTGTCGGTGAATGAATCTGCCTATGGGGGAGGGGGGCGTTCAACCCCCATTTTGCTCCACTCCTGAAGTAAAGAGGACAACCACCGAGGTCCCTTCCAACTTGGTCATCCTGGCTCTCACTGAATACCAACGAAATCCTACCAAGTGGTCATTGTCCCCTTGCCAGCTCCTCAGTTCTTGGAGACCCCAGGGCACGGTGCCGTGGGGTTGAGGGTCCCTCTCAACATCCCTGCCCCCAAGACGAAAACTAAGGCACCTTCTGACAGACATGCAGAGTGTTGGGGACAGCCCTTGGAGGCAGGAGGGGCTTCTGCGTAGATTTTCTGCATCCCCTTGTCTGAGGAAAACGTGGGTGGAGTGAGAGAAGCCGAGATTGAGCGCACAGCGGTAGAAAGACAGCCCCTCCCCTTCTTTAATTCGGTTGCTGAAACTGTCGGGCCGGGTATCCCGCGCGCAGTCCCCCCTCCACTTCTGCCCCGGTCATGTTCCGGTGGCTGCGCTGATGCGCCCGCATGTTGGAGCCCTGGCTGAAGACGCGTGGGCAGAGCGGGCAGGCGTAGGGCTTCTCGCCCGTGTGCAGGCGCTCGTGCGAGACCAGGTTTGACTTTTGGGAGAAGCGCTTGGGGCAGCGGCTGCAGGCGTACGGCTTCTCCCCGGTGTGGATCCGGATGTGGGCCACCAGGTAGGGCTTGCAACGGAATTGCTTGGCGCACACCGGGCACACGAAGGGACGGTTCACCGCCGGCTGCGGGGAGGGCGGAGGAAGGATCCCGGCCAGCTGAGGCAACGGCGTGGTGCCCCGGGCGCAAGGCAAGAGCGCATCGACAGCCAGACGGGCGGGTAGGAAGGCGTCCAGGCCAAGAGGTTCAGGCGCTGGGTGTTGCAGGCTGGAGAAGGCTTTCCCATTGAAGGTCTCGAGCGGGTGCGGGCTGCCATGGGCGAGAGGTTCCCGCGCATGGATTTTCTGGTGGGAGATGAGGTTGGGCTTGTGGCGGAAGCTCTTCCCACACTGGGCGCACACATACGGCTTCTCCCCGGTGTGGATGTGCTGGTGGGAGGCCAGGTACGCCTTGCTGCCAAAGGACTTGCCGCACTCTTGACACTGGTAGCGCCGCTCACCCGTGTGCACCTGCCGGTGGGCCAGCAGGTTGGGCTTGTGGCGGAAGCTCTTGCCGCACTGCGTGCAGGCATATGGCCGGTCGGTGGCCAAGTGTGCCAGCGCCTCCGCTTTGGGCACCGAGCCGGCGATGCCCTCAGCGGCCATGTGGGCCATCTGGTGGGTCACCAGCTCCTCCCAGCCGTGGAAGCTCCACCCGCACTGGTCGCAGATAAACTCCCCGTTGCTCGGCAGGCCGGGCGCCTGGTGGCCTGGCAGTGGTTGTGGCCCGTAGCCGAGCGCCAAGGGGTTGAAGCTGGCGGCCGGCAGGCCCTGCTGGTGCAACGCCATCTCTGGCCAGAAGGGCAGCGTGTCCTCGCCCTGGCTGCTGGGGAAGGGGCTGGCCCCGGTGCCCATGTTGCCCAACGTGGGGCCGGCCTGCTCTGGGGCGTAGGAGGAGCCTCCGGCTGCCTGGGGGACCAGCTGGCGCCACTTACGGATGTGGAGACGCCGGTGAGCACCCAAGGCGATGCGTCCCAGGAAGCTGCGGCGACACTTGGGGCACTTGTAGGGTTTCTCCTGTGTCCGAGGGCTGGCTTTTGACTCCAGGACGCCCTCTCCTTCGCCTGCAACGGGTGCTTTTCCTCCAGGCTGCAGAAGCGGCCGTTTGGGCTTCTTTCCAGGCATGGAAGGATGGGAGATGCGGGGCTTCTTCATATGCTCCGGAGGCCCTTGCAACTCCTTGGTGCTTTTTGCCGCCACCTCCTCCAGACTTGCCACTGTGAAGAGACAAATTGTTTGGGGTGGGTGGGTGAGGAGTTTGAACCTGGGACAATTGGGGAGGCTCTGCCCCCCCTTCCTCCCCCCCTCTGGAGCTGCTTCCAGGGTGGGTTTGAACCCCAAAATAAAGAACTTATCCCTGTTCATTTGGGGGGGCTCACCCCCAAAAGGTCCCCTGGGGACATTTCTCCTTGCCGGGGGAGAATTTTTTTCCCTGCCTTTGTCTTTTCTTTTTCTTTCTTTCTTCCCTTCCATCCTTCTTTCTTTCCTTTTTTGTTTCCTTCCTTCCTATTTTTCCTGTCTTTCTCTGTCTTTCCTTCCTTCCCTCCTTTCTTTTTTTTTTTTTTTTTCTTTTCTTCCTTTCTTTTTAACTTTTTCTTAGTTTTCTTCCTATCTCTTTCTTTTTTCATCCATCTTTTCCCTTCCTTCCATCTTTCCTGCCTTCCTCTTTTTAACTTTCTTCATTTTCTTCCTATGTCTTTCTTTTTTCGTCCCTGTCTTTTTCCTTCCTTCCGTCTTTCCTTCCTTTCTCTTTTTTCTCTTTCTTTGTTTTCTTCCTCTTTCTTTGTTTCCTCCCTATCTTCTTCTGTCCTTCCTTCCTTCCTTCCTTCCTTCCTTCCTTCCTTCCTTCCTTCCCCCAAATTTTTATTTTTATCTTTTACAAAGATCTCTTTTGGTGAACAGCGCGATTCCAGGTTTTTACATTTCCATACAAACATGACCATAATTACATATCTATCTTTCATATTCAGTTTCTTTCCCTCCCTCCCTTCTCTTCCTTGCCTCCCTCCTCCCCTTCCTTCCTTCCCTTCCTTCCTATTTGCCTCTCAGGACCCCAGATAGAAAATGACCCGATCCAGGCAGAATCATCACCCAACAACCCAAGCCGGTACAGAGTGGGAAACCCCTCTGATGCCCTGCCCGGAACCCCTTTCCCCTTACCTTGGCACTCCTCATCCTGCCCTGGGGGTCGTTTGGCACCTATCTGTGGCACCTCTCTTTGTGCCAGCTGGGACAGCAGGGCAGGGATGGCCAGCAGGCATTCTGCAAAGGGAAAGAAGAGGGTTGGAGTAGAAGACCTCCAGGGTCCCTTCCAACTCTAATTCTGTGAGGGTCTCCTGCTCTAGCGGGGGGGTCAGACTAGAAGGCCTCTGAGCTCCCTTCCAACTCTTACCCAGGGAGGAGACCAGCTGGAAGTTCTCGGCCATGACATCGCGATAGAGGTCCTTCTGCCAGCCGGCCAGCTCTGCCCATTCCTCGGCAGAGAAGCAGACGGCTACATCCCCGAATGCCGCCAGCACCTGTAGGGAAGTCGGCCAGGTGAGGACAGGGCAGGGGAAGGGGTGGAGGGAGACCTCCCCCTGCAAAAAAAAACTGCACAGAACTTTCCCCCCCTTTTTCCCCATTTCTCCCTTCTTTCCCTTTTCTCCTTCCCTTTCTTCTGTTTTCCTTTCATCCTCTCTTCCCTTTTCCTTCTTCTCCTTCCTTCCTTTTTGGTCTTTCCTTTGCTTCCTTCCTTCTCTTTTCCTTCCTTCTCTCCCTTTCTCTTGTCCTTCCTTGTCTTTCTCTTTTCCTACTTTCCCTCCCTTTCTCTTTTCTCCTTCCTTCCTTTACTCCTTCCCATTCTCTCACTCTCTTTTTCTCCCTCCCTCCCTTCCATTCTTTCCTTCCTTCCTTCCTCCCCTCCCTCTTTCTTTTCTCCTTCCTCCCTTCCTTTACTCCCATTCTCATTCTTTTTTCCTTCCTTCCCTTTCTTTTTCCTTCATTTCCTTCCTTCCTTCACTCCCTCTTTCTTTCCTTTTTTCCTTCCTTCCCTATTTTCGTTCCTTCTCTTTTCCTTCCATCCATCCTCCCTCCCTCTTTCTCTTTTTCTCCTTCCTTCCTTCCCTTTTCCTTCCTCCCTTCTTTTACTCCCACCCATTATCTCGCTTTTCCTTCCTTCCCTCCTTCCTTCCCTCCCCCTTTTTCTCACCCTTCCTTGTCTTTCTTTTCCTTCCTTCCTTCCCTCCCTCCCTCCCTTTCTCTTCTTTCCTTCCTTCCTTCCCATTTCCTTCCTTCCTTCCCATTTCCTTCC